TGGTAGCCCAGGCTGGCCTCGAACTCACAGAGATCCGCCTGGCTCTGCCTCCCGAGTGCTGGGATTAAAGGCGTGCGCCACCACCGCCCGGCATGACTTCTTTTTTTAAACGCTTGTGTCCATTAGTGATCACAGATTTGTTCTTTCATTCCAATTTAATTGCTAATATTAACTTGCAGACTACCCATTATATTACACACACACACACCACATGTTATAGAATAAGAAAGGGTTAGATGGCTATGCTCAGACTCTCCACGGGGAAGGCAGAGAGCTGATTCTGATGCTAGAGCAAGTCCCTATGGCGGACTGAACAGACTCTACAAACCACAGAACGGAGGTCTGGTGCAGGCAGTTTTGAGTGTCAGTTTGAAGGAGGCTGTGAATCGCGGGTAGGAGAAACCGTATGTGAGTTTGAGCTCAGGAGCAGTGGTCTGTCACTGGGGCCATTTTCCTGTTGGATGATCACAGCCAGTCAGCAAGAGATGGGTCAGCTCCTTTCATACCTTGAAGTGAGTGGCTGAGTTACATGTCATGTGTCTGGGCGGGTTTGATACATTTCCTTACATAATTATTTATTGGGACAAATAAATTATTTAAAATTTGTGCCTCAGAGTGTGTGGACCATTGTTTACTTGCAAACAACACGTAGAGACATGCAGCCTTGGCACTTATGACCATAATGATATGTGTCAGGCCAACACTAGAGCTCTAATATATAAACTTAAGGGCAGAAACCGCATGATAATTTTAATAGATGAAGAATACGCCTTTTAAAATAGGTTAAGATTAATTTATTTGGTGTGTGTGTGTGTGTGTGTGTGTGTGTATGTGTGTGTGTGTGTGATGTGTGTGCCCACACACATACAAATTATGTCAAATTATTGCTATTTGGAGGTGACATGATCATATGCTTAAAAAACCTCTAGAGGCACCACAAGAAAATGCTTATGTTTAACAAACACTTTTTAGTAAAGTGGCAGTATGCAAAATAAACAAACAAAAATCAATGGTTTTCCTACATACCAATAGTGAACTTACTAAAAATAAAACAGGGAAAATAATCTCATTCATCTCTGTGGGTCTTTGGAGTATAGCCTGGTTAGTATTTACTTAGTGGCTAATATCCACCTATAAGTGAATATATACCATAGTTATCTTTCTGGGTCTGGGTTACCTACTCAGGATGTTTGATTGTTTGTTTGTTTGTTTGTTTGTTTCATCCATTTGCCTGCATTTTCACAATATCATTTTAAAGAGCTAAATATAACTCCATTGTGAAAACGTACCACATTTTCTTTATCCATTATTCTGTTGAGGGCCATCTAGGTTGTTTCCAGTTTCTAGCTATTATGAATAAAACTGCTATAAACATGGGTGAGTAAGTGTCCTTGTGGTAGGATGGAGCATCCTTTGGATATATGCCCAAGAGTGGTATAGCTGGGTCTTAAGGTAGATGGATTCCCAATTTTCTGTGGAGCTGCGGTATTTATTTCATAGTGGCTGTACAAGTTTGCCCTCCCATCAGCAATGGAGGGGTGTTCCCCTAGCTCCACATCCTCGATAACATGAGCTATAACATGTGCTATTGATCTTAGCCATTCTGACAGGTGTAAGATGGAATCTCAAAGCAGTTTTGATTTGCATAAAGAGGAAGGGTCTTGGGGGGTGGATGCGGGGATCTTCCTGGGAGGGGAAAATAGAACAGATTTTATAGGTGGACTGGAGGGAGGGGGTGGGGAGATCAGGTTGCAGGGGAGATGGGGTGGAGAGAGAGAGTGGGGGGAGACACCGCTGGAATTG